TAAACAGATGTAAAGGAAACATCATTTCCCACACTTTCTCTGTCTCTTATACACATCTATATATATATTCAGTATAGAATATTTAGAAAAAAACAATGTTGATAAATATAGGACCCATAGATCGTTTTTAAGTCACTATAAATAATATTAGTTCTACACATTATTAAATTAATTAAAATGATTTAGATAGAAAAATTATAGAATGTATATACAGACAATGATGTTGAGAACATTAACGGCATTAAGATCATGAAGTTATATATTTTGCGATTGTTATAATAGGCCTACTGTATTTAAATTAAAAGTCACTATATAAATAATATTACACTTTATTAAATTAACTAAAATGATTTCACTTAGCCTACTTTTAAAGTGTACTTAGATTACATTGTTGAATTTAGGTTGCAAAAACATGTGCCTACGACTATACGGTATGTCATTACACAACAACAAATCTTTAGCTCTGTTTTTTATTGTTGTTTACATTTTCACTCAGATATTCCGGTTTAATGCCATTGTATGAAAAGGATTCAAAACAATTTTAGAGCACAATCTCCCAGTCTGAAAATGTAGGCCTGAACAACAACACAACAATGGATACCGCAATTAAATCTAACACCATGAAGGCATACAGGCTTGTACAACTACAGTATGGTACACTCTCTACTTACCTATATGTATATTTTTTTATTTGAAAGCAACACCATTCCAAAATTCAATATTTTCGAAGATGTTTTTCCGCCGACGTGTCTACGACACAGTTCCGGTAGTTTACATACACGCTTGCTTCAACCGTAATTTGGATATTTGGATATTGGAGACAGGTGCACAACCAACCAGGTATCTGAAGGAAAATTCTGCCAAGGACAGTAGTGGCCTACCAGGCTAAACGTAGAAATTATTAGTTCAGTGCTCACCCCTTAGCGTCCATCCTCGAATTGGTCTAGCACTGGGGCCGAAACGGTAACCGACTAGTTTGTCAAAATCCAGTTTGCCGAAACCCATGATTGCCAAATTAATGGGCTCTATGCCGAAACCCAGTTTGCCGTATCCAGTTCACCGAAATCATGACATCCCAGTTTGCCGAAACCCAGATGCCGAATCATTTGCCGTCACCATCGTACAAAATACAGCATACTGTGCTTTTGAAAACATGATGGGTGGATCAGGGAAGAGCCATATTTACATTCCCGTAATTGTACCCGTGTAAACGCTCGGCTTTGAATAAACGCCCCTTCTAAAGCCTCATTTTGAATAAACGCCTCAATAAATGCCGTGGCGTATATATTTCCTCGAATAAACTCGCCCTTGATATTGTAAACAGATGTAATGGAAACATCATTCCCAACACTTTCTATTAATGTTTTACTCCAGTAGAATTACATTTTAATAACAGTGGAAGCTATGCAAATGAACCAAGATCAAAGTTGCCGCAGCGCGTAAAGAACGTTTGCGCGATGCCTTTGAAGTCCCATGTGTTCCCCGCCATCACATTTTCAGCAGGCATAGTTTACCAAAAAATTGAACATGGCGAAATGGAGAGCACCTTCTTTTCTCGATGCGCACTACATACAGTCAATCACTATGGCTGCGCAATCGTTTCCATTTTGAAGCTGATACATCTATCTCTCATAAAATATCAAACATATTAATATTTTCCACCAAAAAAAGTTTCGTATTTAATGGAACATTTACATGACCTTTAAAAGTATAATATATTTCAACTTCAAAATCCATAAATTGGCCAAAATTCGCCAATTCTAATTTTAACAGATATTAATTAATAAATGATTGAGGATTATAATAATCTAAGTCATTTTAGGGTTAACGAGGGTTAACTATTCGAAAAATCAATCCAAAATATGAGTATTTTTCAGTTTTACACTGACTTAGCTTTATAGACGAACCAATCAATCTTTAGACAAAATTATAATGAACACAGAAGTAATTTTAACATAAATATTTTACGGAATCCGTTCCTGAAATATACAAAAAATAACATACCAAAAGTCCGAAAAAATCTAATCAGGGGAACATTGTTCATTATAAAGATATGTAATGGGTTAAAATCAAAAGCTTTATTGCACAACTGCTCTGCTGGAAGCGTATAAATGCATGTCGTTGTCAAGTTGTTGCTAACGAAAAAATGTGAATTATAGGTTAATATGGGAACACATGGGTTTGTCGCGTCAAAGGGAACTGTTGCCGAATGATCTCCTTCTCAATAATACCTCCATGTTGCGTCTGAATGGATATTCGTCACATAGCCAGAGCTAGTACCTGACTTAAAAGAACTGCATAAAAATAGTAAATTATTACAGTATTTATAATAAGAAATTGGATATAAAGTAGTGAAATCATTAAAAAAAATCTATAAATACAGTTACATGAAATTCAACTGCTAAAAAGATTAAATGGAATTAAACTATACAGGAGGCTGCTAACTGTATTTATACAATATTATACACAGGAACACACATCACGTTAGACACAGAACGCGCATCGCGTATGACACAAAATGGCTTCTAAATTCTCAATGTCGCAACTCTTTCTATCTATGGCTCTGGCTAAGCTAAGTACAGAGCCAGCTAAACATATCCAGACGCACAGCGCCCTTCTTTTTCCATTAATGGAGGAAAACGTTATCACTAATCAGAGTCCGGTCATACGATTTTGCGCTGTGGTGTCTGTCATTTTATTGTTTCGATTTATTTATGCCTACTTGTATGAATTTCGGTGGAACATTTTTTTTTTGTGGAGAACTCTATTTTATGTTTCTAGTATCTTTGCCATATACGGAGCATTAAATACCCATATAATAAATAATGCCAAAATATGGGCACATATCACATTTTTGTCACATAAAATTTGATTGTGTGAACAAAACTTTAGAACAGAACACAGGGAATGCATGCATGTCTCACAAGCACTCAAATGTACAGTCATTCTCTCGTTTTGTGAGAGCTTAACATGACTTATTGCCTCTACACCGAGTTTCGGACGCAATCTTTCCAACATGGCTTATCTTTTGCAAGAGCTTTGATGGGATATAGAGATCGTTAAGAGATTGTACTTTTAGATTGTCGTTATTGATGAGTGATTTGAGGTCTGATTGAAGGGTTGTGGGTGAAGACAAATTGTATTTACACTAATTACAGGTTATCTAATGCAACTTAATGCTTAACATGATAAGGAAACACTCACAATACGCACTTTTAATAAATAAAGAACATCTTTGTATTTTTGTAATATTGTTTGAGATTAAATTTGTATGTATAGTGATCCGTAATGCCGGAGCGTTAGATAAAATGTCTTGCTTAAGGACACAAGCAGTGTGACCAGCGTCGTTCTTGATTTCACCTGAAGAAGTCTGCTTCTTGTGATAATAAAATATCAACATCAAAGTGCTACTTTCTGCTTTCTTATTGTTTCACGACTTTATTATGATTTGCCTTAACTGCTGCACCACACGACTTTCACATTGGGACTTTGATATAATTAGTAATATCAAGTCACATTAAGTTACAAAATAATATCACCATTAAGCAATTATAGTCAGGCTTTGAGTAAACTATAGGAAATAGAAGCCGAAAGAGCCATTATTTCTGAGAAAAAAAAATTGCCTGAGAATATAGGAAACGAATACCATGTATAGACTTCAGAAACACTTTATTGGAGAAAACCAATATTTTGACCTATCCTCAGGTCTGTTACATTAAGTTACAAAATAATATCACTATTAAGCAATTATAGTCAGGCTTTGAGTAAACTATAGGAAATAGAAGCCGAAAGAGCCATTATTTCTGAGAAAAAAAAATTGCCTGAGAATATAGGAAACGAATACCATGTATAGACCACACATACTTTGTACAGGAATATATGTTATATAGACAGCATTTTACAGACTAAAACAACTTAATTAAACTTTTCCACGATATTATACTAATATGGCCACCCAAATTATACATTACAGAACATTACATAACGAAAATGTTATTTCGAGCATTCTCTCATTTGCGGACGCAAGTAAATAACTTCAATAAATGTTCTCTTAGCTTTGGATTGGATATGAAATATATAAGAGGATTTAATAAGCTATTGCAGAACGATAGCCATTTTAGAGGAGTAATAGGAATGCTATAGTTCAGCTGATCATTTTTTGTGTAGAATAGAGCAACAAATAATGTTAGGCGTGCACCGTATGGAAACCACGTGACATAATATGCAATGACGATGTGTTTCAGGATACGAAGGTTGCTTCCCTGACAGTTTTGTTGGGTTTGTCTCACCCTTCCTAGTTTTCTGTTCTTTGGTGGTTTTGAATCAGTCTTGAATATTGTTAATATTTCAGCATCATGATTTTTGATGTTCAAGCTGCTTTCATGTAATCCTAATTCATTGTCACGATGATTCTGTGGTGTAGGACTGGCATCATTGGTTACACCAGATTGGCCAACGTCTTGGTTCTGGAATCCAAGGTTTGTATATTGATGAGTTTCTATTTCAGCATCGTCTTCATCGATGGTTACCAACGTCTTCATGCTGAGTACCATTTCATCGTTTCGTTGATTCGAGGTTGTAGGCCTAGTATCATTTTTGAATTGATTGTGTATTATATTACACTGGTTCATGTCTAGGTCCTGAGTATGGTGATGAGCTTTCATTTCAGTCTCTTCCAAATGGGTGTTTCCGTTTTCTTGATGATTACTACTGGAACGCATCTGTGCATTTGATATTACTTGGTTCACCCAGTTACGTTTTCTTCTAAGTATGGCTTTGTATACTCGGTAAGAAGAAATGCTTATCACAATAAAAGGTAGCCAAAAATAAAGAATAACATGAATGATGTTGTTGTAGACGTTCACGAAGTGCAACCCATAACATGTAGTTTTAAGTCGATATCCATTTCCACTCAACAAACCCCAGATGGTCTGAAGTGGGATCCAAATTCCAAAAGACAGCATCCATAACAAAATACAGGTCTTGACGGCCCGTATCGGGTCTCTGTTGAATCGGTATTGAATGGGATTTGTGATTGCTTTATAACGATCGTTAGCAATTGCCATCACCGTGAACACAGACACTTGTAACAACGAATGTTCCAAACCAATCTTAATCTTACAAAGTTCAAAACTCAGTTCCCATGAATTTCTTAGATAAACCGTATTAATTGGCATCACAGTACTACTTACTAAGAAGTCGGAAATAGCAAGGTTGATTATGTACACGCTTTCGTATGTGCGAAGTTTTCGGTATAAGGCGTAAACGAGGATGACGATTCCATTAGCAAACGTTGAAGAGATTGCTATTATTGTGAAGCAGATTACTCTAGCCAAATACTGCGCTCTTGTGAGAGATGATAAGTTGTATCCCCTAATTATAGAATCTGTAAAATTGTTTTCGTTGTTGGTTGAATCATTTATCAGTAGGTCCTGAACATCGAAAATGGTTGAAGATTCCATGATGATTATAAAGGGTAGGTCGACTTATTTCCCGAATAATCAGCTATCAGTGCCAGCGTTATAATATAGGAGAATACCTTTATATATAAAAAAAAATTGCGCTTGATCCGTTTTTATAACATGCGTCGTTACTACACCTAATCAATGACATCATTATAATTATTTTTATTTTTCTTATTTGGAGATCCCTTTGGAACTTATTATGATATTGCATAGGCATAATTTCCGGACGTATAGTCAATGTTATTTTGTCCAAAACCATGTTAATTAGTCTCATTGCACATAAAAAGCTATTTCAGGTTACATAATTTCAATGTCACATGTATTATGATCATTAATTATGATATTTACAGGACCCGTTGGAACAAACTAAAAAGAAATATTTTAACAAGACTAATTTAAACATAATCTGTATTTTCTTGATTGTTGGATACATAATGGTAGAACCATTTTTTGTGTGTTTCTTTCATTCGTAGGGTCAGTACAGTAGGAGCCGCAGACCACAAAACAACCAGTAAATGGCGGGGTCCACAAAAACAATGTGTCGATGTGTGTTTGCGTTAGGTTAGGAAAATATCATAGGAGTGATGTTTTTGCCCTACCTGACATGATATCGAACTGAATACTCAGTACGTTCCGAAATACTTCCCAAAAAAAAATCGCAAGTGATTCGGATGGGAATCGAACCCATGAACAGATGTGTATAAGAGACAGTTGTANNNCATCCAAACAATTTTTTTTTTGCAAAACTTTTTTACTTTACTTTTTATGCTGCATATCCTCAGTTGGACGTAGCTTCCATGGTAGCTACACGGAAGGAAGTTCTTTCTGTTGCCATTCTCCCTGCTTCAACTGCACTGATGTTTAGTAGTTTTTCAGTGTTTTTCTCCCATCGTTTCCTTGGCCGTCCTCTACCTCTCTTTCCCAGATTCTGCCTTCCATAAATGCTTTCTTCAAACAATTGTGAAGTTTGATGTGACCAAAGTATTTTAAATTAATTTTGTTGAAATTAAGTGTATTAGCCAGTTTTCTTCAATACCCAATTGTTTCTCTTATTGATTGATTTGTTCGTTCCCTCCACGAAAAAGCAATTACTCTTCGGTAGCACTTCATCTCAAAAACATTTATGGCAGCCTTCACCTTTCTGCAAATTATCAAAGCAAAAGCGAATAGAAATATTCCGAGTATCAAACTTAACATTCTATTAAGCGCTGTCCAAACTATCAAATTGTATGTTACAAATTTGTGTGATTTGTATGATGCTATATAATACCAAAATATGGGCATATCACATGTTTGTCATTAAAATGTAAGGTTTAATTACAGTTAATGCCTGCATATTACCAATTAACTAAGCTATAAAAAGTAAATTATGGGAAGCATTATGGACATATTGACAATAGATTACAGTTATACTTTCTAATTAAAATTGAAAAAAATGTACATATTTACACTAATTACAAGTTATCTAACACAATTTAAAACTTCTATAATATAGGAGAATACCTTTATATATATATAAAAAAAATTGCGCTTGATCCGTTTTTATAACATGCGCCGTTACTATACCTAATCAATGACATCATTATAATTATTTTTATTTTTCTAATTTGGAGATTCCTTTGGGACTTAGGCTTATGATACATATTGCATAGGCATAATTTCCGGACGTATAGTCAATGTTATTTTGTCCAAAACCATGTTAATTAGTCTCATTGCACAAAAAAAGCTATTTCAGGTTACATAATTTCAATGTCACATGTAAGTTAATGACAGCTTATTTGATTGCTTAATAGGTGTATATCTTTAATATACTATCTATAATTATGGCTTATTCTGCTTTACGTCTATAATTATTTTGACGATGATTAATTAATTTGTCAGCTCCACCTGAGCTGCTCCATAATTGCTTCCAGTCCATTGTTTTCAATTTTAGGCATGCACATTGTATATTTAGTATAATTTTGTTTATCGTTTTACCCGACTAAACATTATATATTTTACCATATGTAGCTTTCTAAACATTTGTGCTATATGAGATTAAGGCGATCGGGATTTTTTGGAATTAAATAAATAATTTTTTATTTAAGTATCTTATTACTATAATTCTATTTATTATTAAGAAATAAAACACTGAGTAACACTTGCATGTCTTTGAGCATTGGATCAATTATGATATTTACAGGACCCGTTGGAACAAACTAAAAAGAAATATTTTAATGCAATGAAAATTATGGACATATTGACAATAGATTACAGTTATACTTTCTAATTAAAATTGAAAAAAATGTACATATTTACACTAATTACAGGTTATCTAACACAATTTAAAACTTAAGATAATTAAAGGAAACACTCACAATACGCAACTTTTAATAAATAAAGAAATTTTTTGCATTTTTGTAATATTATTTAAGATTAAATTTCATGTATAGTGAGCAAATGCCGTAGCCAGGATTTTCCAACAATGCGGGACAATATCAGGGTGGACCCACTTTACCCGTAAATTCAAATAATGTCAATCCAATTTCTTAAAAGTTGACCCATTTTACGCCAAAATATGAAAAATCTGGACCCATTTTCTAAAAGATTTATCCATTTTAGGCTAAATGTGAGAAATCTGGACTCAAATAGTCCAAAAATTGCATAATTTGGACTAATTTTTAAGAATGTGGACCCATTCTTTGTGGACCCATTAGAAAAATTGTGGGACTGTCCCACGGCATTGACTGGAGGGCCACAGTTGAAGCAATGTTACCTCTGATCTGGGTTACCCTCCTTAAACAAGACTAATAAAAATAATCTTATTAATTTCTTGATTTAAATACATTTATAAATTCAAAATAAATTGTATATATATACTTTATCTTAATTGTGAAAAGTGTCTATTTCTCCCAGGTCATTTGTACAGAATCAAAACAAGCCTAATAAAAAAAATTCTTATTAATTTCTTGACGGGTTAAATATTTAAAACTAAGATATCTCTATTTACGATTAAATGACAACTCGGCTCGCCATAGTACAACCTAGATTTTTTGACAAGAACCGCCATAAAATAAGAAAAGTATATTAATCATTGTCCGTCAGGTTTAATTGTAATTTAATTGTTCATTCCGTATACTGTACTATAGAAAATCAAATTTAGTTTCTTAATCAGGTCTTGAATGTTACAGTGGAATGAACGATTACTCTACTTACTATAGATAAAAAAAAAACCACAGATATATATATTTACACTATTGATGCGGCATTGCTATTGTTTTAATTTAGCCATTACATTGTTTTATTTTTGTTGCTTTTGTTTCTATGAGTACCAGCCCATCATTGACCAAAAGCATGTCTTTTTGCTCAATCGTATTGTTTAATAATATGTCTCCTATTGGTGAGTTTATCATAAGACTTAAAAATACATATAAATATTCTAGTCACACTGTATTATGTATCACTTAAGAAAGACCCATGGTCAAA